GTTACTTCCAACTTTTATATGCGTAGTGCATCTCCTGTGCGACCCCCTTAAGGACGAGTTTGCTTGTGGATCAGTGATTGCAAAAAAAAAAAAGAACATTACGCTGGATGCAAGCATTATCCGCACAAAAGCTAAAAAGCTTTATGAACCTTTTGCTGACAACGATGAATGTTTGCGCCTGACAACAGGTTTTGATCTTTGATTTCATACTATAATACTGGACTTATTTTTCTATAAAGGTTTGAACTTTCAGAGTGTTTAGACAAAAAAAGAAAAGTGTGAAAATGTTAATGCCTGTCTGAGAAAAGTGTATAAAGTGTGTAGTGAGGGGTTTACAGCCTTAAAGCATCTATAAAAATTGTAAAAAAAAATAATAAAGTGGACTACTTAGGCATTTCCCCTATTGCTAGTTATTTTTAGAATGTAAATCAAATAACCAGGGACCCCTGTATTAGTCATTTTACGAGATAGAAACTGTGCCTTTTCACAAATTATTCATGCAATTTAAAATTTTTCATTTTATACAAGAACATGCCATATGGCAACACATTTAAAAACAAAAAATGTCCAAAGTTTGGACCCACAGACTTTTAATGTATTGGAGAAAATGAAAAAAAGGCAATTTCCAAAATCCTATTAATACCTAAATGATTATAGAATCTTCATTTTTCATGTCCTCTTTAAAGAGGACACATTCTGAACTAAAATTCAGATTGATGCTTTACTAATTATAATGTTATTTTTATTGGGTTATACATTTGGAGGTCTCAATTCTCAAAATGTAGTCTGAAGTATTCTCCGGTATATTATGCCATTCACTATTCCAATATTCACTGCACATAATATTCATTCAAAAACCCATGATGACCCATTGAAAACCCATTGAAAAACAACTCCAGAATTGATTAACCTCAGTGTTTAGGCTAAGACCATGTATTGAGAGCAGAAGAGGAGGCCAGAGATGCTCTTTTGTCTGAGCCTCGCCGTGTCCCTGAACTGTCTCTTTCCTTTAAGACACAAAGAAAAATCTGAAAGCAGAAATACAACCAACGAGCTTTCTTCTGATACAAAAGAATGGAGTAATTCATTACTGACTATATTTATTAATAACTCCAGTCTTTTAAGGAGAAACTCTAAAGACTAAAACCCTTTTTTCCCACATTTATCTCTCTGATTTTTTAGATTTTTGTTCTTTGGCTTATAAGGGATCTTTCACACTAGCACTTTTGGTCTACACCCGGGTTTTTTTGACGTCAGAGTAGCTGGTGTGAACATGTCTTCTGAACTCGGCTGAACTGTGCCAAGTCCAGAGGTGGTCTGGGGTATGGTTTACACAAATTCTGGTCCGGTTCACTTCTGGTATGAATGCAATCATACCAAATAACGAAAGTATTTTGCCAACAGCACAACAAACTATCATTTTCATAATATTCATTTGTATGTGTGTGTGTGTCTGTATATCACGTAATGTACTTTAGTGACAAGCAGGACTGAGCCCGGGCAATCACAGTGATGATGTCTGCTTGTCTCCTCCAAAAACAGCTGCAGAAAATCACGTTATGTTCAGAACGTTTATAATATTTTTGCGGCAGATGGATGCGAGTCGCTGTCTGCATGTCGAAAAGCAAAATATTCAGTTAAAGCAGAATGGTTGTGATGTGAGGACGTCTTTCCATTTTGGCGCTTTGCTTTTGTGTCCATCACCAAGCAACAGCTGTACACACAACAGCAGCTCGATGACGCAAGCATACCGGGTTTCAGAAGGAATAAAGACAGTGTGATCCCAAACCAACCGAGAAGGTGGCAAGGGGGGGACAATCGAACTTGGGTACATCCAAGCAATTGAAAGTGTAAAAGCACCCTTATGAATGTTTTATTTAGTCAGTCCAATGTAAAGAAAGCATCCAAAATACACTTTTAAGTGATTCTTATGTCCAACTCTTGTCTACAAATTTTAATTACAACACATTTTTTTAAAGCCAATTTTCCCAAAATGAGTGCACAAATTTGTAAATCTCTACTTCAGCAACACTTAACTTCATTAAACTTCAGAGTTTTATTCATTTCTATATTCTGAAGGTTTTTTGCAGGGTAATATACCTTTATAATTTGCCCGATTATCTACAACATTTCATTCTTCAATAAATTGTGAACATTTTTTTTTCTGGCCATTTGCAGTATTCCCTGAATAAAACAGTGATAAAAAGACACAAAATCCCCTCTGTAAAATTCTTTTACCCTATTTTTATTGTTGTAACCAATGTTCAGATTTGTGTGCTTTCTGAGGGTCAGAGAAAATACAATCTCCTGTTATGTTTGAACTGTGCTTTGGACAAACTGCTATCAGTAATGTTTTGACAAGGTGGATCAATTTAACTAGGCCAACTAGATAGTATTCGTTCATTTAAGCATTTTTAGTCAAATCATACAAAATCGACATAGAAAAACCATTCAACATTTATGGAAAAAAAGTAAAGATTTACAATTCAATACTAATCCTATTTCTAAACAAATATATACACACAAATATTTCTTTGTATAGTCTGTGACATGATATACAATTGCGACAAAGAAGTGGCCGTTCGATTACCAGCAGCTTCGTTTCCAGGCAACGACAGCAGTGTTGAGGTGAATCTCATCTAAAAGGCTTGTATGAACAGCGAATGCACCTTGTATTGGGTTTCTTTATGGGATTGACCTAATTTGTTTTCACTAAACACATCTAAGTGGATTAGATTTCACGATTAAGGTGGTTTGCTTCATTTACTATAATATATAAGAGGGAAAACATTTACATCATGAGCAATTGAACAGGACAGGATATGAAAAATTGAACAAAGAAAAATAATCTGAAATCTACTTAAAGGCTAAAATGGAGAAATGGGTTCTGTAGGCTGGAGCAATAAGAATTATCTTGGTCATAATGGCACAATAATGTGTCTGGTTTAATGAAATGGGTTCATGGAAAGACCTCTACAGGTCATTAGATGCTGTTTTGTAAGGTCAAACATTGCCGGAAGGGAAGCTACATATTTTCCTGAAAATTACAAGGATAAATGGGGTCAGGAGTTCATGCAGTGGCTAAATGTGCAGACTTAATGTGGCTTACAGGGTAAATCGTGTCAGAAAGTCATTTTTTAAGTGAAAGTGGCAATAGGTCTGTTTACTTGGAAAAGTTGCCACAGCGGTATAAACCGCCAACTTATCCAGCACATTTTTACACAGCGGATGCCCTTCCAGCCGCAACCCATTTAATGATGAATAATAACAGTAAATTATAATACAGTGATTTAAGATTTATTCCACTTTATTGTAATTTATTATACTATCTGATACATGTTCTATTTTGTAAATATTTCATATTACTTAACCCTTTAAGATGCACTCCTAGAAAATCTTTTGACCCACTTTGAATACTATACTGACACAACTCTTATAAATAATAAGCAAATTAAAATAATAATGATATGGATAAAAGGTCAACCAGGTGGTTAGGATGCCGGATTAATGGTTAAATTATCGGTAGAAAATAAAAATAATAACAATTTAATATAAACATAAAATATGAAATGTAATAAAAATAGAAATATATGCAACATTCAAATATTTTAACATTTAAATATTATTAGTTAAACAATGTTTTAAAAAGCTTATTTTATCCATTTCAATAATAAAGAATAACAGTAAAACATAATACATTTATTTAAGATTTATTCTAGTTTATTATTCTAATTTATGATATTTGATGATTTTATAGTTGACTTTATTTTGTAATTATGTCATAATAATTTAAATATCAGTAAAAAACTATAAAAATGTAATATAAATATAAAATAATATAATAAAATAGAAACATATACAACATTCAGATATTTTAACATTGAAATATTATTAGTTAAGCTTAATATTTTAAAAAGCTTATTTTAACCATTTCAATAATAAACAATAACAGTAAAATATAATTTATTTCTGATGTATTATCATTATTATACTATCTTTTTGCAAATATTTTATATTAATTTTATAGAAATAATAAAATAATAACAAAATAATACAATATAATATCCTGATTTTAATATATTAACATGTGTAATACAGCAATGCTATGGATAATATTCCTGAAACATTGCCTGAGTGGTCATTCTAGCCACACAATATTCTTGCTCTCGTCATCTCTGGCTTTCTTGGTTAGGACTTCAGTGGATCAGCCTTCATTAGTGACATTTTTATTAAACTGGAATGAATTAAACTAAACTTCACCAATGACATTTATAATAAACTGAACTGAATCAGTTTTAATGAAACTAAAACTACCACTATTCCCCTGTCTACCTGATCCGCTAGAATGTTCAACAATCTCAAATAATGTTGTGACTATATATTCTCTTTTCTTCATCTATGTTAAGCTACTATGGAACAATGTAAAACAACAAGTTATAGAAATAAAGATGAATTTAATTGCATCACTCCACCGGTAACAATTTTCAAAACCACTACACCTGGCTCTGATATGGTTAAACAAGTGTACAGTGGCCAAGAGGTAAACAAGAGTACAGAGACAGCTCAAATGTAATAAATATAGACTAAACAGGAAGCACCCGGGGTCGACAATTTTTTTTGTGTGTGTGATCAGTGCTACTTGCACCCTGTTTCTGTATTTGCATGTGCTGTGAGAATTTACATGTGTTGTCAAACTGATGAATATGTTTCTCAATTTGTTAGTGTTTCTCTATTTGCATGTATTTTCTTAACTTGAAGCGAGATTTTTAGCCCTCTCGGCCTCTGTCGAGTACATCACAGTTATATTTAAATTATATAATGTGTCATGATATGCATTCCACTTTCAATAATGAAAAGGATGTATAACACTGTATAATCCAGAACAAATGAGCTCAGAATCACTTTGCAATGGTTAAGAAGCAGCAAGAGGATCACACTAAATGCATGATTTGGTAATTTTTGTTTAAATAAAAAGGCAGAAAAGATGCTTGTATACTTACAGTCCAGCTCTAAAATGCTTCTGACAGTTTGAGTCAGTTCTTTAGCTTCTACGGAGAGAGAAGAAGCTGTGCAGGGTGTTTTCTTCACACCACGAGACGCCACAGTCTGAGACAATGTGCCTGACTTCACATCGTAATGAGAACTGAAACACAAAGACGTTTATTAACAAAAGACTCTGCAGGCAAAACATGTTTGTCATGGCCTTGTCAAACTTCAGATTTTTGGCTTTTCGGCTTTTCATAAAGTGTTTTTAGAAGTATAATACAATTTTACATGTTCATTTTATCACACTTTCCCAATTTGTGTCTGTGCAATTCAATAACAATACAAATTTTTGAGGGTGTTTTCTAAAAATGTGCTTTTCTCCTAAAACACAGGTGTGAAATCCAGTTCCTGGAGGGCCGAAGCTCTGCACAGTTTAGCTTTAACCCTAATTAAACACACCTGGGGGTTGTTTCATAAAAGTCATTTAGAAAAGCGCAGATTAAAGTCAAAAACCTGACTTTAATGAGCCAAACTAAAAGTCCTGACTTAAATTGGTTCCATAACAGTAAATTGAAGACTATTTGATCTAACAAATCTGAGTTCAGTTGAAATAATCTAGATTACTGCTTGTGCATGTTACTGTCGTGAAACCTTGAAGATCGAGCATAGATGCATCGATTTTGTTGTGTGCTACCATGGCAACTACAATGAAAAGAGCTCTTTAATGAGATAGAGCTATGTCAAAGTCTATAGAATACACAAGACATGTCACTCGTGTTGTTTTGAATGCAGTGTTGCCAGATGTGGTTGACTGATTCCAGACAAAAAACTATCTAAAACCCACTGCAAAAACCCCAGGGCTTTGGGTGTTGAAGAGAGAGAGAAATGGCATCTCTTGGGGAGATCATAGCTGGTTTATAAGTGATATTGAAGGGGGCTGGGGTGCACGCCATTTCAAAACCACCCAAATTTCTAATTTTCTCTTATCATTTTTTAACAGCACAATCAAATTCAAAATCGCACAATCTAGCAACACTGTTCGAATAGGGAAAAGTGTAATGTCAATATGGCAAATAAAGCCCACCTTCTAGTACAGGGGCCAATTAGCGATCTCTATATGGCGAATAAAGCCCACCTTAAAGTACAGGAGCCAATCAGCGATAGCCATATGTTAAATAAAACCCGCCATTTAGTACAAGAGCCAATCACCGATCACTATATGGTGAATAAAGCCCGCCTTCTAGTACAGGAGCCAATCATCAATTGCTATAGACTGACGACACTCCACAGGACAGGCTCGGACCAGACAAGAGTTTCTGCAGATTTTTTGAGATTCTGATGTTAAGAAATAAAACCAAAGAGACAGTTGTTAAATTTTATTGGTGATATCTAATATTAAATTCAATCAGAAGCTTCGATGTTTGCCCATTTAAACAAAATGCTCGAGCATATTGCCCGAGAGGTGTTTCGAAGATAGCCGCTGACTGAAATAACTTGCCTTAAAGAGACTTTGGTTCACAGCGAGTGAGGAGTATTTGATTTTTGAGTTCAAATATGTAATAATGTAAACATTATAAAAGCTCCATTGAATATACTGGTGTAAAATAAATGCAAATATTGTAAAGACATAGCGGGGAAAAATGTAATTTAATGCAGTGCTTCTTGTGCAATCTGAGACCCACTTTATATCGGATATACCTCAGCCAGTGGAGAGCAGATTTTTTAAGAAAACGGGCCTTAAATGCGCCAGTTATGCATTGGCATACAGTTTACCAGAAGCGGTTAACCCAGGTTACTGGCAAATTAAAAGTCCTGTTAGCATGCTTCGGCATATACCCTACTAACTGGAGTTGACACCTGTGTCCAAAAATAAGACATATATATCTACCTTACAATTTTATTCATAAATATATATTTAAATGTTTTTACATACACAGCGATACAATCATATATCATTTTTCTGACAATATACATTTTATTCAGCAAAATTTGGAAAAATTATTATCTTTTTCTTATTGTTCACTTTATTTTATTATTTTTTGTATTATGGCATGATAAAATGATTTTCCCAAAATCCCCCCCAAAACTGTAACTCAAATGTGACTCAAATGTGTCAAAAAATGTAAACAATTAGCAATTGCTAATGTAATTTTTTTTCCTGTTTACCTGCAATGTCTTTCCTTAAAAACGCTGTATGAGTATTTTCCAAATGTTTAACAATCTAAAGCTTTTATTTAATGAACATACAAATATATTTATTTTCTTTTTACACTCTTGGGTCATAAACTGTGTCAGTCTTCCATGATTCTTAGCGAACTTGTTATAAAAGCTGTAAAAAAAGAGCACTCCCTTCGACCTGAAATGAACAATGCATGCTGGGCAAAGTGGCATAAAAGAAGAGCGCAGCATGACTCCTAATAAGAAGAATTTTTAGGGAAGGGGATTCAGACCTACTGACATGGATGGACCAGTGTTATGAAAACATATTATGAAACTACTACAATTTCAGGTCATTGGTAGAAAAAAGGTTTCAGACTGATTGATTAGTCGCATGTGCCGGAAATGTAAATGACATTTGCTACAGTCTGATTTAAAACAACGAATGTAGTTACTTCAGTTTTATAGTAGATTTAAACAGAAGATTATATCATATTAAAGGGATATTTCAACCAACAATTAAAATGCTGCTGTTATTTACTCATCCACCACTTGTTCCAAACCTATTTGAGTTTTTATGTTTAAGACGTACTGAAGGGTGTTGGAAATAAAATGCCATTGACTTCCATAGTAAGTATTTTTATTCCTACTATGGATGTCAATGGTTGCTTTTCCCAAACATTCTTCAGAATATCTTCTTTTGCGTTAAGC